TCTATGGGCCTGCTGGGCCCTGATTGGCTGCTCCTTGCAGCCCCTCTTCTATTAGCTGCTTTCTACACAGCCTTCCTAGGGCTCCATTAACCCCTTACATGCCACGGTGGAGCAGACACCCCATCACAGAAGGCTTCTCCTGTCTGAGGTCCTTCCAACTTGTTCTCTCTTCACTGGCTCTTCTTATCTCCCAATGAAGTGTTTCAGGCTGTATTAGCTCAGCTTCCCAATTCCCGCCTAGGGAGCATCTGCTGCAAAATAAACAGCCCTGTGTCAGCAAAAATGTCTGAAGTGATAAAATGCAGCTCTGTGTTAATATTCACTGGACACCTTTGGAACATATTAGGGGCTCTGAATATGATATCGGCAGATTTTCTGCTCCACCTGCCAACCTGAGCATTGATGGCGTCGCACCAGGCATCGTGTAGGGAAGTTCCCAGATTTGGTTCACTCCTACTAATCCACCAAACTTTGTGGTGGTCCTGTGGGTGGCACCAGTTAGGCCAAAGCGTGCATCCCTTCGCGTGTCAGTGGAGAATTTGAGAGCATGGTGTGCTGGGGTGTTTTTGTCCATCATCGCAACATGGCCAAAGAGCACACAACACCACTTCTTAATACAGTGAGCAATGGAAGGAAGGCCAGATCTGTGCGAGACTGTGACATTGCGCACAAAGTCAAACCACTTTATTTTCAGGATTTGGCACTGACCGCGAACCTGGAATGACTCTAGCCGCTCCAAGTTTGCCTGTGAGAGGGTCCAGGTTTCTGATCCATCTAGCAATACAGGCAGTACACACATTTGATAGATCCTCAACTTGGTCTCAAAGAAAGACATTTTTATGTCCATAGGTGAGACATGGACATCATGCAGTAGGTGGCAAGACCTCCTCATCAAAGAATGTTCAGTTTTCTGTGAATGTTTGAATTCTGCTTGCAGCCTAGGTGAATTCATCAACATTCTCCATGGTACTCACCACCCACCTGCACTGGGGGTTCTGATGGCCCAACTCCAAGCTTCTGGATCTTGGTGTTCTGCCATGCAATGTTCAACCCCAGAGTGTGGGTGATGTCTTGGAGACTTTGGAGGGCAGGGCTGAAATTCTCTGACTTCTCTACAAGCAGGGCAGCATTGTTGATGGTTGGTGAACATTTCTTGACCAACCTTGATTCCAAAGTGTGGAGTGGCAAGTGCTAATATCCAGTCGATAGCTCGACAGAATAGTTCTAGGGCAAGAATGCATCTCTGCTGCACACCTAAGAAACCTGGCAAAAGCCATGAACCAACATGCACTCTCGCACAAATTCTGGTGTGATGATTGCACACCAGATTCAGCAGAACATTTGGAACACCTTCCAGTGCAAGCCAAAATACTGACCTGTCGACTCAAAAGCTGCTTTGATGTCGATACATGCCCCGTGAAGATGAGAATTATTAAAAGATAGTTAGCAGAAACAATATGCCAGGTGGGTGGCCTTCACTGGCACAGGCTGTCTGGCTGGAGATGTAGAGAGGAGCAGTATGAAGAGAAAGGCATGGAGGACATCCAGGGGATGGTGGCTAGAGGGATTACCCCTCCCATGCTAGTGGTTGGTGGTTTGATTTCCACCAGTGCTTTATTAGGAGGTGAAGGCTGGTCTTTGGTTAAGCCCTGTGCAGAGCTGTGCTCAAGTCATCCTCTGGGATCCTGGAGAAGTCAGTATGCCTCAGTTCGTAATGGGGTAATGATCTTCCCTTTGCCTTTTTAGCTCATCAGCACTTCAGGGCATGCCTTGCCCGTGCAATGCCCAAGGCATAGCTGGGAACAACCCTGCCAGCCAGAGCTCAGAGGGATTGGAGGGTGTGGGAAGAGAAGAGGTGAAGCATAAAGGAAGCAGAGCCTAAGCTGGGGACAATCTGTTTGGTTAGGGAGGGAAAGAGGAAGAAAGAGGCAAGGCAGAGCATGTATCTCAGATGAGGGTTGATGCATATGTGCCCCTGGTGAATGCATTGTGGCTCGTTGTCCCACTCTAGTGGCCAGACCATCTATATATGTTTATGAGTCTGCCCCTGCCCTACCATAGCTGGCTCTTTTGCTCAGAGGGTGGAGGCTCGTACTCTTTCAATGCATGGGTTCAATCCCTGCATGTGACGACCCAGCCTTACACAAGCCTTACCACTACTGACTTCAGCACCCCCAGGCCTCCCATTAAGCCACCCAAGCACCTTGCGGGATGGATGCCAGGGGAAGGTGACCAAGCCCATTTGGCAGGATCGATCTGCCGTGCCACCTGGCTGGGGCTCTAGTGGCTTTCCAACATCCTGAGTCACTCCAGCAGCATCTCCTGTCCATCCCTGTCACTTCTGAGGTGTGTCTCCTGCAGGGCGTAGGTGCCTGGCATGTCACTTGGAACATGCTGCAGATCACTGGGCAGCCCTGCTCCATTGCAGTTACAGTGTTTCTTCCCGGTCTTTGTTTATTTTGTTGGTACAGCGAGGCACCAGAGAACCTGCCATCTGCTCTCCCCACGGCATGCAAAGCAGCAAGGCAAAGAGAGCAGAGCAGTGGGGTCGGAATGGCTGCAGAAAGTGGAAGCTCTGCAGGGCGCTCTTGGCTTCCCCTCAACCCCTTAAATGAACACGGGTGATTCTCAATAAAGCGGCTGCAGCAGGCTGGATATTAACGTGACATGGGCAGATCAGAACCAGCTTTGACATGCGTTAAGATTCCCAGCCAAATGTGAGTGGGCGTTAGGCAGAACCATGGGTTTATGTACCTAGATTCCTTCCCCCCGCCCCCTCAGCATACTAGTGCTGCCCTGGGGGACTAGGATTCACTCTAGTCAAAATGGGCCCCAACAAGTACGATCAGAACCGATGGAATGGTCTGAGAATCCTGGCACTGGACTAATTGCCTGATCCAGAGCCCACTGAAGTCAACCAGAGTCTTTCCATTGCCTACCATGGGCTGTGGGGGTACCTCTAGCAGTGGGTGTTGGAGGGCAGGCCGTGACTGAGAAGTAGTAGCAGAGCTGGAGGAGGGGAAGCTGAGGCAGAACAAAGCCTGTATGTAGACTAGTTTGGCAGGGGGCAGGATTGGTGCATCCAGTGCTTGGTCCCAGGGCTTACCAGGAGCACTGCTGTAGTTCAGCAGAGGCTCAGAACCACAGTAGCAAGAGTGGGCCACTGGGCAGGACTCAGGTGCACTGGCAGAGCTGTGGGGGCCCAATCCTGGAAGAACAGCGGGGGAGGGGTGCTGCACAAGATCAGACTATCTGAAAAATTGGAGAGAGTCCAGCAGAGGGCAACGAAAATGATCAGGGGGCTGTGGCACATGACTTATGAGGAGAAGCTGAGGGAACTGGGGTTATTTAGTCTGCAGAAGAGAAGAGTGACGGGGGGATTTGATAGCAGCCTTCAGCTACCTGAAGGGGGGTTCCAAAGAGAATGGAGCTAGGCTGTTCTCAGTGCTGGCAGATGACAGAACAAGGAGCAATGGTCTCTAGTTGCAGTGGGGGAGATCTAGGTTGGATATTAGGAAAAACTATTTCACTAGGAGGGTGGTGAAGCACTAGAATGGGTTACACCTAGGGAGGTGATGGAATCTCCATCCTTAGAGGTTTTTAAAGCCCTGCTTGACAAAGCCCTGGCTGGGATGATTTAGTTGGGGTTGGTCCTGCTTCGAGCACGGGGTTGGATTAGATGACCTCCGAGGTTTCTTCCAACCCTAATCTTCTATGATCTGGGGGTAGCAGTGCTCTGCATGAAAGTGCATTGGCAGATCTGTGTAGGGGAAGCTACCAGCCCCCTCCCTTCCCGGGTGCTACAGCAGGGAGCTTGGCTAGGATTTTGTGCCCAGCTGGGAGAAGGCCGCACACCCAGAAAAACTGCTGTGTCCTGCTGGGAACCCAGTGCAAGCAGCACAGGATCCCACTGTTGGTACCCCGGGGTGAAGGAAAGCTGCCCAAACAGGCGGAAGAAATGGGATTGGGGGGCTGGAAAGCCCTGGTCCTTGAAGAGACCCTTGCAAGGTTACAAGTTGCCTATTTACCCAATAGAAGTTATTGAGCTACTTGGGTCTAATTTATAGGCCCAATCCAGATCCAAACCAGACCCAAGTCCACCCAACCTGACCCTGATCCTTCCCCCTGAATCTGAGTTGGCATTGCCACTGCCTTGTGCCCTGGGACATCTCTGCTCCTCCTGTGCGTTGGGTTAGCCAGTGGCAGCAGCCATGTACACTGTTGGCTGAGTGCCCTGCTCCTGCCAGCCACCACCTCACTGTCCTGAGTATCCCGCCACACCTTGTCATGCTGTCTCCGCAGTGGGCTGCCACGCCGACCCGAGCCCGAGAAGGTCCAACTATTTTCCCCTGACTGGAGCTGACGCATAGTCAGGTCCCGTCAGGTTCAGGGCAAGGGGCAGGGCTCTAATAAAGGTGCCCACCACCTGGTTTGCCTGGGTTACTAACAGCACCTGGGGCTAGTAGAATCGAACCTTAGTTGCCTTCTAGTGCCACAAGCTATCTGCTCAGCTGGGGCATTCACACAGCACAGAGCCACAGCCTGCTGCAGCCAATGGAAGTCCTCTTCATGCCAGGGGGCTTTGGCTCAGGGCCTGAGAGACACAGTGAACTGCAGGTTCAATTCTGCCTGATGCCACATGGGCTCACATACTAAGGGGTGGGCATGGCCCCAGGAGCCCCAGGGATTACTATGGCGGCTTTATGCCATTCTCGCACCTCCAGGATTCGGAGCAGGTCTAGGGCTGGTGGCCCTCTGGGTGTACAACAGAGCAGCCCCTGCTGGGGCTTCCTTCCAGCTGCCAGTGAGCTCCAGCTGCAGCGCTTTCCTCTCCAGCAGCAGTTACCTATGTCAGTCCTGCCCCACCCTCGAACTGATAGATCCCCCAGGGACGGGGGGCATTACTTAGTCTGTTTATATTGCCAGGGTGGCGCAGCAGCCAGGGCCAGACTCTGATGCCCACTCCGGGTCACACACATTTATTGCTAACCCTTCTGTCTCTATGGATCTCCCTGAAGGAAGAACTCCTTCAGCTCATCTGGGACCTGTGGAGAAAAGGGGCTGGGTGAGACACTGATGAGATGATTCTCCCAGCCCTCCCATTCCGGCAGCACAAGTCTCTGTCCGTTACCTTGTCCTTGTGTTCCATGAGCAGTTTGTACATTGAGCAGGCTTTGGAGATCAGCTCATCTGCATCCAGGTCTATGATGTTCCCGCAGACCTACGGGAGGAAAGGAGACCAGAGACACCACCAACCAGGGTGGAGAAAATAGGGGGCAGGAGGCTGCTCCCCCAGTGGCCGTTAGCTGTATGTGGAGTGCCTTTTCAAGCCAATAGGTATCACCAAAGCTGGCACCATCACCCCCCAACCCTGCCACTGCTCAAAACCTGGCTCTCCTGCCTGCTGAATGTTCTAACCAGGGCAAGGGGTATCTGATGTGGTAGCTAGGACTGGGTGACTCAGCTCCCAGGAGCTACCTGTATCTTCATCCAAGTCTGAACACTATGCATTTTTGACATTTGCTTCACTTTTTTATTCTCACGTTTCCCATTCTTTATTTCATCCCCTCCTTCTACTTCCCACCAGGGATTACAATCATAGCAATGCAGTGCTGAAAGGGACCTTGAGGGGACATCTAGTCCAACCCCCTGCATTAAGACAGTACCAAGTAAACCTAGATCATCCCTGACAGGGTTTGGGAATCTCATGAGAGATTCTGTTCTGATACGATATACAGCAGTCTCCTCTCCACTCTGCTCTGCAGATCTTTGGCGCATTCTACGATGGAGAGAGGTGACCTGGTCCCATGGAGGCTAAGGCCTAAGGAGTAGAGCTGAGTAGGAAACAGTTTTCCTGTCCTGTGAAAAATTTTGAAATTAAAAAAAAATCTCATCCCGCATCAGGATGAACCAGAGAGACAGAGCCCCACCCCAGAATAGTCCAGGGGCTATTCCCCTGGGATGTGACAGACTGCAGTTTCAGTCCCTGCTCTGCTGGATTGGGAGCAGGAATGTGACCGTAAGTGTCCCAAGTGAGTGCTCTGATCACTAGGCTATTGATTGGTCTGAAGTGGGTCATTTGCTCCCTGTAGTTTTGACCAGAAATCCCATCCTGGACCTGAGAAACCTTCCCACCGAATGTCCAGTGGAAACTGGCCCTTTAAAACTCAGGATTTTTGTATGAAAAACCTGGGGCTCTGCCATTGACTGTGGGGTGACCTTGGGCAAGTCCCTGTTCATCTGTTTCACCTCCTGGCCCTTGCCTGTTTAGATTGTTGGGCAGGGAGTGTCTCTTATTGTGCCTAGCACAACAGGACCCCAATCTCTAGTGGTCCTACTGTAATATTAATAAAAAGTAATGCACATTCAACAGGACATGCCGGTCACTGAAGATGCTTGGAGAGACAATGAGTTCAGGACAGTCTGGAGGAGGTTTAAATAACCATCCATGTTCATGGGTGCTGAACTGAACCACTTCATCTTTTAGACCATCTGCAAATTTTAGGGGTGCCAAATGCAAAACTAGAGGGGGGTCAAGAGAAGTGGCAATCATGAAAAGGTTATATCAGGGAATCTTAGAAATGAGAGGCAGGAAAGAGCTATTAGGTGTTGGAATACCTACTATTTCCCATAGGAGGCTACTCCACAGTCTCACGGATCTAACTGTCAGGAGAGTCGCTCAGACGTTTTCCATTACTGGCTTTTATCTGATGATTACTCCTATTTATTCCTCTTTTGATCATCCAAACAAGCCTTTTCCTTTATTGGTATTTCAAATCTTTAAATACTGAACTCAGCCATCACTCCTGTCCCTCCCCCACACTTCCTTCAGGGAACCTATCCTATATTACACATGCAAACCTACATTAAAAGACCATGAAGACTGCAAAGTCAAGTACTCAAACATTAGGATGGGCCAGAATTAAGGTTTCTGGGCACCTTTAATTGGGCTCCCCTTGTGTGTATGCATTATGATACAGTCTTTAATTATATGATCGCATACTATCTTTTCCACAGGACCCCTGCCTCTTTTAGTAGGAGCTCCCTGCCCCTCTCCCCCACCAGATTTCAAGTCCTAGTCCCAAAGCAGGAGGGGAGAGGGGGGGAGAGCTTCCAAAAATGGTTGTGAGAATTTTTAACATGGGCAAAACAACGTATCTTTCCCTAATCTTGTTATCAGAAATGTCTTGAATTGCTTTTGCTGAAACTTTCCAAAAATAATCAGCCTGAGGCTGACACCTAGCATGGGAAATTTCAGCCAGAATAGTTACAGTTTGGCAAATGTCTGAGCAAGTGTAAACATGGCCATATAAAAGAAAGTGTTGGAGAACTTTAACTCCAGGCATCACTACTAGCTCTACCTATAATAAATCTTTCCAAATAAGTCCTCTTGAAGAATGAATTTTCTGCATTAGGTAGGAACCAGGGATCTAGATTCTTAATTCCCTTTTTTGACTTGAAAATTGCCCCTTTGTCCTTCCCCATCTATTCTCAGAGATTATAGCTTGAAAAATTGAAATGGGACCTCTTCACAAAGGTCAGGCTAGGAATCAGATCTGATGCCAAGCTTCCTTCAAGTTCTGCATATCAGGAAAGGACCAAGTTGTAGATTTTGGATCTGGCTCCTGGTTTGAATATCCCCAAAGCTCAGGGGGTTTAGGATCCTGTGTTCATATTTGGGCTCATGTCCACTAAAAACACTGAACTCACATTTGAGAAAAGTGCCACTTGACTACTTTGGAGAATGGCAACCAGGACAGGCAGAGCTCATGCTGTGGAAGTGCATGCTTCCCTCAGTGTTCCCTACCAATATGTCCTATCCCTGAGTGGGGAGGCCCACCTCAGCGGGTGAGTGTGTCCTTTCACTCACATTCATTGTTTGGCCTCTGCCAACAAGGGGGCTGTAGTGAGGCCATGTGTCTCCCCACCGCCCCGGAGGGGGAAGAGCCCATCCAGAGGCCAGAGTGGGCGGAGCTAGGGAGTTCTGAGCCCGCCCCTCAGAGGGTCAGGCGGCGACCTAGAAGTATAAAAGCTTGCCCTCACAGCTCAGTTAGGCCCCAGCTGCTGGAGAGACCAGACGTCTCCAGCCTAGCTTGTGGCTGGGAAGACCCCGCGGCCCAAGGTGGCCGCCAGGACTGGCCGGGTCTGCCTTGCGCCCGCTATCCGGAGGAGCTGCCGGACCTGTCCATCAATCCCTGGCCTGACGAACCCATGATCCTGGATCCCCCAGAGGCTGACACCAGGACCCAGGTAGGCCCCGAGGGGGAGTGTGGAAGTAGCACGGGGACAGCCGACCCGAGTCTGGCTGCAGCACTGCCAGAGCCTATGTCAGTGTGTTGTGGCCAGGATCCCCACTGACAGCAGCGGGTCTTCTGCCGCTGCTAGGGCCCTGGGCTGGGACGCAGTGGAGTGGGAGGGCCTGCGTCCCCCCTGCCACCCAACCCGTGGGTGGCAGTCTCCCCATCTCCCAGGCCTTTTGAGGCTTGGGCCTACTATTGTTGCTCAGCCCTGACTGAGGGCCTGAGCTTCTGACTCAGTGTTTGTTGCCCTGCCCTAACCTAGGGCCTGGGCTAAACACTTTGTACTATTGTTGCTCAGCCCTGACTGAGGG